CGCAGCAACACGAAGTGACCATAGCCTCAGCACTAGGAAGTGTTCCCAGGACGGCTTTGTTGGGAGACTCGCTTCAGAATCACTGAGCACACATTGAGACTTGCAACACGCGAAACGACGCAAAACCATCAGCCAAAGTGCTCATCGATAGACATGCACATACAATGCTCAGAGACAAAGTCGTACTCCTGAAAGTCCTGGCGGGCGCAGTCAACCCAGTCATCACTCATGCACCGTTGGCCTATGGTAGCACGCTAGTTCGAGCTATGCTTGCCCACGGCCAACATGCGCTAGCTCGTTTCCTTATGGACTTTTCTTTGCAACGGAACACGGCAATCGGTTCATGTTGCGAGAATAAAGGCAGAAAAGAGTGGAGAAGCAGTCCAATCCCGACCAATACCAAGGCAGCTAAAAATAGGCCAACTCAACAGAAACAATCGCCTATAAGAAAATGGAAACCTAATCCAGTGAGGTTTTACGGCTTTCTGTTGCTGGCTCTTACAAATCAAATGTTTCAAGAGAATAACTGTTGCTTTGGTTGTTGTCTCTTGCTCGATGCGCACTACCGGGCCTCCGGGTCGCTGGGTGTGACGCGGGCATGAGGTCGCCATGTGCCTGCCTTCTGCTCCAGATTCGGAGACTTGGGAAAGGGCAGCACCTCTCGCGGCACGGAGAGTCCAACAGAAAAAGGCCCAACTTGAGACATAAATCAAGAGTTCACAGCGGAGCTCATCCAACTCACTCCAACGGATGGGTGTTCGGCCTTGGAGATCTCTGAAATGATCTGCTCCACGCGCTGGTCGAATAGGTTGCGGCTCGCCAGCTCCCGCGCGTGGCGACCAGTTGGCACCTGCCACAGACCCAGACCTCTGCCGTTTGATGAGAGAACCAAAGGCTGTCTTGTGCTACAAATCGCTGACAGCTTATGTAATGCTGTAAGAAGAATCCAATGGATATACTCAGATATACTAATATACTGCGATGCATCGCAAACTCTCTCGAAACGCGGCTCCCAGGGAGCTGAGCGTTGTCCAGCAATGTCTCGCGCCTACAAGCGCCCGGAGAAATGCTCCCAGGTCTTTGACCATGTCGAGCTTTAAACATCTTTTGCCGGTGCCTCCAGTGTTCAGGTTGTATAAGGCATCCGCCTGGTTGTCTATTGCGGCTAGTCAGGAAATTGACGTGCTTGCGCCCGCACAGCCAGTTGAGCCATCTGCAAGCGATGTTCGATGTCAAATTGCGTGTGCGGATCCCATGTTTCATGTGTTTCTCTGCAAGTCTCATGCAGCCATTCTGCTCTTGGTTTCCCGACTCTGCTCATGCGATCTATTCTTGGGCAGTTTGTGTAGCTCTCGAAAAGTACCTGTCTTAATGGGTCAGAGTTTTGGGATCGCAAAATGTGTCCTAGTAGGGTTATCTTTTTCTTCTTCCATTTTTCGGACAATTGTTCATGCTCGTATTGAGCCGTCCGTTGCAGAGCCTCAATGACTGCTAAGTTGGTCCATTCACGGTCCACGTTCGCGCGGGGAACTTGCTGTATTCGCCGAAGCATTTTCATCTGCAAGGCGTCTATCCGAGCTTTCTCTGCTTTCGTCAACTGTATAGACTCTAGCCCATAGAGAACTTTGATGTTCGAGCTTTTGACCAAAAGATCTGCGCAATCTGGTTCGCTTCTCCAAGCTTGAGCAAGTCCTTGTCTGCCGTGTCGGTCAGAGTTGCCCCGGTATGTCGCTTCTGATTTTCTAGGGACTCTGGAACGATCGAGGAAGGCGAGTGAGGACTGTCTTTGATTGATGGGGAGGTTCACATATTTATTCATGTGTAACTTTCATGTTGTATTTTTGTGACTCCGCCTGAATTTGGTGCAAAAGTCTGTTGAGAGTATCGAAAAGGAAAGTGTCGTCAGCGTATAGTATTTCTGCGAATGTAATTCCTGGGATTGGCTCTTTTTGCCTTGGTGTGTTCAGCCTGTGTTTAATATCCTGAAAGTTAGCAGACATAACTATAGTAAAAAGATACGGCGAGAGCGGACAACCTGAGTTCTGCCTGTAGTACTCAGATTTATTTTCACCCTTGACGACTCTGAACTGAGCATTCTGGTAAATATTCTGAATAATCTGTGTCATGGTTTCCGGGACGTTTAGCCTGCGCAATACTTCCACCGTCTTGCGTTGATGAACTTTGTTAAAAGCTTTTTCCCAATCCAATGAATGAGCGAAATGTTCGTGCCTTTCCTTTCCGCCATATTTAATATCCATTAACCTGTTCTTGACTAATGCAGCAAGAATTTTGTAGAAGACTTGAAGTAGAGCAATTGGTCTGTAGTTGTCTAACTTTGCAGGGTCACCTTTTTTTTAAAATCGATGCTATATTCGCCAAGTTTAACGACTCTGGGAATGTATTGCGTGTCAGGATATCCATTTGCGGCATTGAGCCCTTTCAGCTCACCTTGTATGTCATCTGGCCCTGGGGTCTTGCTGTTTTTCAGTGTTGATAACCTTGTCAAGCTCGTGTGTTTCCCAAGGGGTGCTTTTCGGTTCTGGGTTTGGTTGGAAATCATTAGGTGGGAGTTGCAATTGGACCTGAGCTAAGTACTCTGCTGCTTTTTCGGGGAGTTTGGATTCCGGAATGCGATTTGCGTCCCTATCTTTGAATTTACAATGCTTTGGGACGTACTTCTTTCTCAGGTTTTTTAATTCCTTGCCATTTGTATCCTAGCTCATCCATGGATTCAAGGTGCTCTAACCATTAATGTCGTTTGTCTCTTCGAAGGCATTTTTTGAGCTGTTTATCAATCTCATCTGCTTCTTGGTACATCCCCGACTCCACCTTTCCTTGTTTCTTGCAAAGCAGCTGCCATGTTTCTTCAGTTAAGTCGGGCCTTTTTTTCAGGTGGAATGACAGTGAACCAAAGGTTCGCTGCGGTTGAGAGCACGTCTGCCCACACTCTGCCTGGTTCAGTGCCCCATTTTGCAACGCTTGCAGCACTTGTTGTTCCTCGATTGGTGGTCGAAATGTTGTTTTCCTCCTTTGCTCGCTTGGATTTCTTGAAGCGAGTTTAACGTCTGAACTACACGCAAGCAATTTGTGATCCGTCGTTGTGGAATGCCTAAGACTTGCCGCAACATGTTTGACCGCATTTTTCCACGGGTGGTTGATAAGTATATAGTCCATGCATCGCAAACTGGAACCTTGAATTGGATGGGCAGAGATGTCGCAGGTGTGAGAGTTTGCACGGTGAACAAAACACCTGCGTCAGGCGTGTCGAATGCTCCGGTGTCAAAAAGCTGGACTGCCCCTTTTACACAAAAAAATATTCCCTCAAGCGGCATGCCGCATGTGTAAAAAGTGGATGAAGGTTGCACCGAGTTTGCCATCTGCTTGGATATTCCTGGATTCGCGGGAGGTCCATCCCGCGCAGCGAAGTTCGCACTCAGGCCTTCATGCCAGCGCAGATCTGCACGGCAGACAGGCTGTACTCACCTTCAGAAGGGTTAAAAGAAGCAATTAAATCCATAGGACCAATTGTCTTTCGACAGGCCAACTTCTAAATCTGCTGCGATCCGATTTAGTTTGTCAAGGGCTTAAACACCAAGAGAAGGCTTACAAGTGATTCAACTGCAAGCAGCCTGCACGGGCACGGAAGCGGGAAATCTCCCCTTCCAGGCGCACCGCAGCACCTGCTGCACGGCCGTAGCGCTGTGCAAAGCGGAAGCGGAGCCAAATTGCCACGAGCCTCAGACGGCTGGGCTATGTCTGGAAGGCAACATGGCCGAAACACGTAACATCGCCGCACGGCTGAAATCCGTGCGATTCTGAGGAAGGCGTCTGGAAAGGGCGGCAGGTTTTCTCGTGAACAAGGGGCTGCTCCGAACCCCGGAGCACCCATGCGACTTGGGAGTTGGTTCGGCACAGATTCTGATGCTTGGAACAGCTCTCTATTTTCTTTCAGAGCTTGCCTGTTTGGGAGCTTGCCTGTTTGGGAGCTTGCCTGTTTGGGAGCTTGCCTGTTTGGGAGCTTGCCTGTTTGGGAGCTTGCCTGGATGCTGGTGCTCAACCAATTACAGGTTCTTTTTTTCATAGAATTCAATGGTGCATCTAACCCCCCTTTGGATATTACTTCGGAGCATATCCGCGCCACGTTTTTGACTATAGGGGGATGTTCCAAAACAATCAAGACAACATGCCAACAAACGCCACTTCATGGTACTGCAACCAGACAACGGATCGACCACAAATAACGACCAAGACAACATAACGTCACAAGGATAGACCTGCACAAAACCATGAAAACACCACGTCTACATGAGCAAGATGTTATCGCACGGCAGCCAAGCAACTAAATAGCGAACCAACCACACCTCAACGATAACATCCCCGTTTTCCCTTCACGCAACCAGCGAACCAACGCAAACCTGACCAACGATCGATCGGAAACCAGCCAAGAGACAACATCAACATACACACCAGCCTTCATTTGCAAATCAATCAAAGCACCACATCAGCGTTCCCCAACAGACCGGTATCATGAAAACAATCACAATTCAAGACTCCCTGCTATAGCGCAACAACCGACCAAAACACTCAATGGAAAAAACCATCAAGACTCCGTTTCAACATGACCTATTTTCATCACACGATCAGACCAGCACGAAGTGAACATGGCCAACTCCGTCGCAAACCGAAAACACCACACCAACAGGTCCATCGCACGGCAAGAAATTCACCTCAGCCCCCGGGGCCGGGAAGCGGTCAGACCCCTTCAGAAGCTCTGCAGGATCTTGCCCCCCCTCAAAACCGATCACAAACCGGCCAAACCCCCCTGGAAACTGATCAAGTCCCCTCAAAAACACGGCAGAAGCTGGTCAGGCAACCAGTCAAATCACCCCTAGAAACCGGTCAACTTCCCACCTAGACAATTCCCCTCTAAAGACCGGCCCAACTCCGGCCAAATCCAGCCAGAAACCCCCTCCAAACCGGTCCAAATCCCCTCAAAACCCACCCTTGCGGCTCTTGTTCTGGCCCTTGAAGCCATGTGGAAACACGCAGACATGCACCCACCCTCTACCTTGGAAACAAGCTCACGCATTTCGGCGCCGACTCACTCAGTCTAATAAACACAAGAGTTCAAAGCAAACTAAAGCACGGTGTATAAGCGTTTACAATAACTCCCACCCAAGTGAGCGGCAATTCATCGCACGACAAATCAACCGCTCAAAGGTACGACCAATGAACTTGACCTCAAGCTTCTAACAAAACCAGACAGCGCGACAAATCCTAACAAGTATACATCGTAGACCCAGCAGGACACCAACCCCGTCAACCTTCCCAGCGGTGCAAAACCACAAAGACCAACATAAACTGGACCATGGTCCATCGTCCCACCTAGGAAAGTTTGGGACTGTTCTCTTCTTAGCTTCAACTGCCCAGTGCCCGGGTTTGATTGTGGCTCAGACATTCAAGCCACCACATGACCAAGACACCATGCCAGCACAAGCAACATTTCATTGTGCGGGGATGACCAACGTTCCACTGCAGACCGCCAACCAAAGCAAATAGAAAGCAAATCAATCGCAAACCATCAAAACAAAACTCCAACATAGGAGACTTTTAAGCACGCAGCTACCCGCACATCAATATGACCAACCTTCAGTCACAAACCCAAAAGCCAACGTTCACTTGCTACCCGAACACGCCACATGGTCAGCAAATCATCGTGCAAACAACTACGGCTGCACGTCAGCATGCCCAGCAATCTAGCACAGGACTTCCGTCCCCATGACTTGTTTGTCATGTTAAACAAAATCTATTCAGTGTATGATAGAAGGAGCGACCTGAGGGTACGCATTCGTAGACATTAGCAGCCAAAGGGAGACCACCTGCTTTGCGAGTTGCCTCGTGCCCCACGAACATCACGAGCCTGCTCCTTCTCATGCACCAAAAGCTCGTACATACTCAGGCCCAGCGCACACCACGTCGTCCAACCACACAAACAAAGCAACCAGACAATTAGACAACCCGACAAGCGAACGAACCAATTCTCTCACCATTGGGTGTTTCCACCATCGGCAACCCTGAAGGAATTCATAGACTGGCACACTAAAGAATGACAAACAAACAGACCGCCGGCAGCAGGCAAACAAAACACATACAAAGCACACAGACACACAGACACACAAACGCAGAAACATAAACGAAACACAAAACAATCACAGCAGCAAAACCAGACCAAAGAACAGGGGTAGGCGGCACTGGGCGGCAGTCCTTCAATGGCCCTCCTCAAAAGAACTGCATGACTCTAGGTGTGCAAACGAGGAACGCCAAACATATCGCGGAGACCACGGGAAAAATGAAGGGCATCATCGCGCTAAGCTCGACCAGCCAATCCGTCGTCTGAGGGCTTTGGAATGCTCTTGAGCGATGCCAGGCACTGTATGCCTATGAATAGATACATACTCAGAAGCACCAAACACAGCCAAAACTATGCAAATACCACGGACCGGCCTTTGGAATGGCGTTGATGAAGGGAGTCAGCTGTGCGCTGCCTCCGGATTGGCAAGTAGTTTACGCCCACAAGCAGTCAGATTGAAGCTTTACAGTCCGCAGTCACCGCCTGTGTCAGCCACATAAGTCTGCAGCACCTTCACGATTGACTTGATGGTGGCATCCTGAAACGCAGAGCATCAAAATGCATCAAGCTACAGCAATCAGATGCACCCGGGGCCTGGCTGCCCAGCTGTTGTATCCATGCAGCTGCCTGCACGAGCAGCAGGAACACCGCCATGAGCCTGAGAAACTCCAATTCTCGCAGAAAAGCCATCCCTGAGCCTTCCATTGCTGAATGCATCAGAACGGGTTTCCGCAAGGCCGGTGTTGCAGCCACGACACCAAGCCAATGCGTCGAACATGATCTTCTCCTGCCAAGCACAAGCCCCCACGGAAGGCCAGTTGACGAACTGCTCTTTCACGAAAGCATTTCTGGGGTTCCTCAAATGAACAGCAAGCTCTGGAAAAAATGCAACTCACACCTCACACACCCTTTGGACAGCTCCCTCTCAGTCTCCAGTCACTCGAATGCAGATCCTTGCTGGCCAACTTCGTCAGCTGAGAGTGGAACTCCCAGGCCGCTTTCACCGAGTCCACATTGGCTTGATCTGCCGCCTTGGATCTCGGCATTCGGCATGGGCTCATTTGGAAATTCACCGCGTATCAGGAGTTTGCATCGCCGCTTGGACTCAACTGCGGCAAGGAGCATCTGTTGTGGGCATGAAGCTTGCATGGCTGATGCACGCGGCCACATCGCTGTTCTGCCTGTGACCGTTGTGGTCTTCGGCATCCAGCGGATTCAGCACCACCTCAGAGGCTTCAAATCAAAAGTACTCCTAGTTCGATCAGTCGATCGGTCCATCAATCTGCATCCGCGGCGCACAAAGCCGCGAGATCTTAAGAGCCTTCCGCTGGTAAAGAAGCGCCAGCTCCGCAAGGTCTGCTTCGCTGCACTCGCCCTGGTCTCTGTTTTGTCGCGAGGAATGCTGTTTTCACATCCCGGGTCATTTAAATTTCACGAATCAGGGCAAGTAAGGTCCAGAATCTTTCAGTCAAAGTGCACCAAGATCATTCTGAAGGCAGGCCAACCGGTCCTTGGGGCGAAACCGCAGAAAGAGGTACTCCATGAGCTTGGCATCTGCCGGATGGCCCAGGCCGCCGCCGTAGCGGAGCTGCTGCGTGGACTGACCTGTGCCGTACAAATGGAACGCATGGCTACGCGGCTACGCGGCTACATGTGACCTAAGCCTTGCCCAACACCGGACACGACCTAAGCCTTAGAGCCTGACCAAAGCCTGGTCGAACTGCGAACGTGCTAAGCTGCGTCTCGTTCTCCTCGCATCCACGCCTCTGCGCTGGACGGACTTCTTATCCTCTTCGTGGTCCTGGGTCAGGCGGCTCAGGGACTCCTGGTGGATGGCTGTGAACCATTGCGCCGCTCGCCCCGTGTTGGCCAGGACGATGATGGGCTGTCCCAATTTCAGTCCCCTAATCAGCTGCTTCCTTAGCACGTTTGAGACAAACGTGCGCATCTGCCAGTCAGATCCTGGATGCTGCCAAAGCTTTCCTACAAACAGAATATTCGCAAGAAAAAGTCCAAAGACTGTCAGTTCGATGAGTGCGAACGTGGCGTGCAAGTTTCAGTGTGCAATCAAATAGCAAGGGGCGTCGTATATGGATTGTAAACAAATGCTTCAACTGCTATCGGAGTCAGTGCCAGCCTTGGGGGGGCAGGGCTCGCCACGACCACAAACCGTGGTTTCGGGCATGTGATTGCCAAGCGTCAGCGCATGAGCATCGCCGCCCATCACAATGGCGCCTTGGGGCGCCAATTCATTCAGCTGCAGCTCCTCGAAGTGCTCGTCCTTAGGCACTTCAGCTTCGCGAGAAGGTTCGAATTCTCAGCTTGCAGCATTCATTATGTTTTCAATATGAGCTTGAGAGGCAGCTGAACGAAGCTGGCCAGCCCAGAACGACATCTAATTACGACCCAGTGGTAAATTACACCCGCAACGTCATTCAGGCCTGACGACACTTGGAGTCCATTTTGCAGTGCAGGCAAAAACCCTACAACCCAAGAGTCCACCATATTTATGGGGAGGGAGCGTGGCCCGTAGAATGGAATTGGTCCTGGGAATCAATCCGAATCATTCCCCCCGCCCTCCAAAGATTGCAACAAACAAATCCCTGCAGCCGGCCCAGCTAGCCTTCGTGACAAGCAAGCCCCGCCTCTGTGAGGATGTAGTGTGTGCCAGACCTGACGCGTCATTGCCAAATTGCTGTCGTAATTGAAGTGGGAGATGGAAACTCCCTGGAGCATGGCACAGACATAGTTTTGAACATTCTCGAGATTGGGGGTGATACGTGTGGGACACGGCAAAGCGGACGCAGCGTTCAACGAAGGTTTCGATCCTTTCGTTTGTGCCCGTGCCTGAAAGGCCATTGGTTCCATCGCACGTTCTCAGCCCCAGCGCTGCTCGGCTTCTGCTGCTCCCAGCTCTCTGAGTGCCAGAAGCCTCTCAACACGAGACTTGCCATGCACTGCCCGGGGCACACATTGCCCTTGCCAGCCTTTGTCCAAGTGCACCGTCTTGCAGGCTACGCCGATGGGCTTGGCTTCCCGTCCTCAGGTGGTCTTTTCCCGAGCCATGTTCTCCAAAAAGCACACACATACTCCTAACCCTGCGCATGCGATCACTCGTTTTGACAGGCGGCAGCGGAGAAAACGTGTCTGCAGTTTCACCGGCTGTGCTTGTCAAGCAACAACTCACCAGTTCAAGAAGTCAACAACTCAACGATTGTGTCTGAGGCAAGGGAGCTGAAGCAATTGCGGTCCCAGCATCTCAACTTCTCCAGCATCTGTTGGCCCTGAGTCAGAGACTCCCTGATTGTCGCCTCAACGGTCGCATTCCACACCTTCAAATGGCTCTTGTAGTCCTCCACGTCCCAGTACCTGAAGCCATTCCAGCGTGACAGACACTCGAATGCTTGTGAAAACACTGACTTGAAACCAGGCCTGCGCGCATTTGGGGAGTCCACCACCAGTACTACTGGCTGCTGCGGCAAGTCCGTCAGCTGCTCCAGCAACGCCAGGCCGCCCGAGGGAGCCCCGTGCACCTGCCAACTGTCGGCAACTGTCGGGATTGGGGAATCGGATTGGCATTCCACGCCGTTGGTGCGCGAGTCACAGTGAGTCACAGTGAGGTTGGCTTCGGAGGCGCTAGGATCCAGCAGTTGGCCGCGACCATGGTGTTGATGATCGAGGTCAAGAGCTCCACCAGGTCTGCGTGCAGCACGTGGCTCAAGCCTGAAGTTCGAAGTCCGAATTCGGACGGCTGGAGCTCTCCAACGGGTCGGCTTCGGCTACGTAGGTGCATTCCCTACCAACATCCCCAACATCCAATGAACTTGTGCCAGCGATGTCATCCGCAAATGGACAGGTATGAGGAAGCAGCTAGCCTCATAATCTGGCTTGGTGCACGCATCCATGCTCAATGTCAGAGCTGGTTGCGAAACTTTGCCAAGACAAGTATGCCACTCAAGCTCACTTGTGGCCTGAGAGTGTATTTGAACAAATCTCTGGCTTGCAATTCACGGGCATAGCTGCGAAACAAAGTCTTTGCGAATCACAGAACGTTGGCTCGCCTTGAAGCGGTGCCTTCCAGCGCGCTGTGTCGCTGCGCTCCGACTCCTCAAAAATCCAAAAATCCCATGCGAATTTTGCTGCAAATCCAGCCTCATGCCTCACCCTCAACTTTCGCGCTAGTAGGCAACTCAAACCGTGACAATCAGATTTGTTCAAGCTCCTCTTGAAGGGTCCGGAGTGCATCATCAAAGGAGTCCTCCATGTGAATGGTCTCCCAGAACATCCTGCCAGTCGATATCAGTAAGACTCAGACTGTGAAATTGGAGACAGCAAAAGGCATGCAAAAAACACAAAAGAGAGCTCAGAATATGTGTTTCGCAGGAAACGCTTCTACTGATCAAGGAGCAACTGCTTCGCAAAATTGAAGTGTCCTTAACAGCTTCGGTCCTCAGCTGCTGGAGCAGCTTCTGATTTGAGGACAGATTGGGCGAGAGGCTGCGCACCACTTCCTGACACAAGTTGCTCTAAGCAAAGAATTAGGCTGGATCCAGGTCAGGGAAACTCAATGGGGCAACTGCCGGCTGCAACAGCCGGATGCGAGTGTTGTGTTGATCTCTGCCAAGATACTATAGAAACCATGTGCTTGGGGTGCGCAAAGCCAGACCGTATATGGATAAGCCTCAGCGTGTCTCACATCTCGATGCACTCTGACTTTCTAGTCTCGCTGAACACCTCGTCACTAGAACACGAACTGCACCCCTGGCTGACCTGCACTTTGGATATGTTTGCTCGCACAAACCAGTGTGGTTCGCCACGGTGCAGGTTGGGCGATGGGAGGTTCCACTGCCGCAAAGCCGTGTCCAGTATGTGTGTAGAGTTCATCCGCAGGTTGATGCCTGCCCAAGCGCCGAGGCATCTGAAGTGAAGCAGCCGCTGTCGCTTTTTGACACTTGATGTAGAAAGGTAGAAAGGGGCATGGCTTTTTGCATCTCGAACGATCATTGGTGCACTTGAAAGCTTTTAGTCCCGCATTTGTGCAGCTTTCCCTGTGTCCCACATCGAGTGACCTGTCGGAAGCCAACAACGCGCCACTTTGCGATGCTTTGGCGAGCGCGGCTTCCATTTGTTGCACGCCAGGCCTTTTGGCACCCACAACAGGCGCTGACAGCTCTGGCCACAGCTGAAGCAGCCGTGCTTGAGCTGCGGCTCCCTAAGAGCTTCGAGAAACGAATGTGTATCTATTCATAGATGCCAGCTAGAGAATAACTGGACATGATATTGAAGGCAACTTCAATAGACCAACGTGCAATGCGTGCCGAGTTGCTCAGGTGGCTCCTCGGGAGACTTAGCGGCTATGAACCGTGGGGCTCAAACCGCGTTGTGCAAGCGGGGCAAGCAATTTGAATCCACATCATACCTGTGAAGTCTATGCGCAATTTGTATTTCCAGGCTGTGCGACCAAAGGACTGGACCCTGGCGATGTGTCATACGCCATTGACAACCACTTTACGTTTGACCAAATCTGTTTCCAAAGAAACCAGCGGATTGGAAACGAATCGCGGCGGCCTTAGATGGCGGGAGAGAACCAGCTGAGAGCCTTGCAACGGCTGTGCTCGCCTCGATGCAATCCGTTTGTGGTGGCGGCGTGATGTGATCGGCCGATCGGCCGGCACTGTCTATGCACCAATGTGTTCGCAAGCAGCCACGGGGCGAGATAAATGAGTGGGTCGTGATGGCAGCGTCACTCACCAATCAAGACACCAAATAGTTTTGAAGTCTGCACCCAACGCGACGGAATGTGTGATCATCTAACTCCTCGTGTGGGTGGGCACGGTTCCTTCCATTTACTAAGAATATATAGAAATGCAAATGCCTGTAAAGGGTCGGTCAAGCAATCTTAGGTCTCATTGTCAGAGGAGCAGGTACTGATTACCAAGCGGTGGGCAAAACAGCATGAAGCAAAAGCGTCCTTGCGCGTGTACGCAGGCTCGATGGCAAGCATGTCAACAGAAAGGGCAACCCTATTTCATGGGCGCGGCAGTTTCATGCCCCCTGCACCAAGATACCAAGTGGGCGCAAGAGCCACGTCCTATGGGGTGCCTACGAGTTCCAAAGGCACTGAAGCTGCAGCCTGACTGCTGTCTGCGGTCCAGTTAAATCTTGCTCTGCCCGGCCCATGTTTTTGGGGCTCCCTGCATCGACCTGGGCAGGCTGTGGTGTCCGAAGCACCTCAGGAAAACTCCACCATCAACCACCAAATTTAGGCTAAATGACTCACCGTGAGGTGCCCTTCAGAAAGCCAGGACGCTCAGTTGCTCTGCAAAACGCACCGTATGTCGCTTGGGCTCTGCTGAAATGAGTCGGCTCTCAAAGCTGGGCTCTACAACCAAGAAGTCCGACTCCGCGCCAGCCTGCCAGCATGCAAACAGAAACCCTGGACTCACTGGCTGTTGGCGTTTCCTTGGCTCCCAAAGAAAGGCCAAGGTCATTGGATTTTTGGTGTTCTGTGAGGATGCGGCAGCACATGCCCCGGCCTTGAGTTCTGTCTTGTAGGTCTGAACTTGTGCCTGCATGGCTCTAAAACTTCCTGGTCTGAAGGATCCTGCGCAACGCCCCTTGAGCACACCCCGCTTGCCTCTCGGCTCGCCCTCAATCGCGAGGGTGCTGAGTGGACCAATGATGGACTCGCCGATGACGGATTGTTTTGCGATGGATTGGCCTGGAAAGCAAAGCTGGCAGGGGCAAGTCAGCCCAAAGCACATATTGCTTGTACTTACAAGCAATATACCTGGCAAAACCGCCTCAAGTCATCGAGCCACCCAGCCACTCTCCCATGCCCGAAAAGAGACATGATGGCCAGCCTGCCGCGAAGCCTGGGCACAAAACAAGTCGCACGCGTTCAGCTGCACTCCGATCCTCGTGCTCCCTGCGACCGTCAGCATTCCGGCCTCTCTTTGGGCTCTCTCTGCTCGAGCCTTTCATCCAAATTGGATGACAAGTGATTGTATTCAGCTTGCAGTGACGCGCCTGGTCAATGCGCTGTCTGGTCGTGTTGATCAGCGTGGCAGTTGGCACTGATGGCACCGTCAATACAGGCACCGTCGGCAATACAGGCTCTGTGACAGGCTCTTGCGGCTCTTGCGGCTCTTGCAGCTGGCCCGACGACAAACCAGGTAGCAGCTCTCGGCCATTGCTCATAACTCATAGCCCTTATAGCCCTATCACATCTTGTCACGTGTCCCTTGAAGATCTTGAAGCCTGGTCACAAAACACGCGCATTGGAATCCATGAATCAGCCTTTAAAGCGTTCTATTCCAAACTCATATAGCTTAACGCGCTCTTCGCGTCAGCATTGTGGATCCTGAATTTCCGGCAGCGAGAGTAAAACGTAAGAAGTGTATCTTCACAGTAACAGCAGCATTGGAAAGCAGCAGAGCCTTGCTGCAACCAGTTCAGTAACTTTGCCAGGTTTGCCCACGTAAAGTCCGATTCGACGAGCTTTTAGAACAGCCTTGCTGTGGAAGAGTCCCACGACCACCGGGACTGAATCTCTGTGAACCCTGCCCCAAGCAAGCCAAAAACCATACTTACGACTGCTCATCTTTGACCCGCCACAAAGCACACGTCGGCAGGAGTATATATTCTGTACACCGCTCAGCACTCAGGAGATCCGGGGATCCCTGTGCCGGCTTGCAGCCCAAAAGCCAGGGTTGGTAGCTGCAGCAGTTGCATCTTGCAACCAAAATTCGGGCATGCAGGCAAGTCTTCGCAAACAAGACAAGCCATGAACAAGCGTGATGTTGAGTGGCTCAGGCGGTCAGGCGATCACCTTGGCAGGGTTGCAGGCACGGAGTCTAGCGATCGCATGTTGATGTGGTTGCACTTCTCGTCATCAGAGATTAGCTTTGGTTGACCAATGCTGTTGCAGAACTGGCAGCGGGACTGAACTCTTTGACGTACCAGTGACTTATTGATTCTACGATGCTACCCCACAGAGGGCATGACGAAGCATCCATGAGAACACATGCTGCATACTCGTAACGAAACAGAGGACGTATAGTAGTGCCATGCTGCCAAACTGCTTCTGTAAATAGTCAACAACCACAATGCCAAAGTCTCGGGATGGAATCTACAGGCTCACTTCACAAAGACATGATCTTTCTCTGTCAATTTGTCAGGATGGGAAACCGCTCTGTCTGGACACAATACCCTCTCCTCATTTGCCAGTTTGGAATTGATATAGTCTGCCTTCACTGACCAAAGAGCATGCTGGGCATCGTATGACGCACCACCCAAGCCTCTGACGCAAGAACTGCAGCTGGGACAAAGGCCTTGCTTCGCTGGAGACCTTGGCAAGTCTGCGAGCGCTTGAACGACATGGCCAGGAGTCATGCTAAGCCCGTGTGTAGGATGCCCACTTTGTAGCTTTGGCTCCACCTTGTGAGAAGGGTAAACGGGTCTTCGGCTCTTTTTACACTCGTCACTTGCCAGGGGCCACCTCCACAAATGCTGGCTGGCCTTCTTTTGCAGCAAGTGCCGGAAGCTGTCCACAGCGCACCGCCGGAAAGAGTCCTGACTCCCAAGGCGACTCCTGTTGTTAGAGGGTGGGGCAGGTTGGTCTAGGAGGAGGTTTAGAATCATTTTGGGGACTTAGGGTTGGCTTGGGCAGGCTGATTGGGAAGACCCTGCCTGCCCTGTGGAGTGGTTTCAGGCTGTTGTTGCGTTTGGTTTGGTCTTAGTTGGAGGGGTTGCTCATTAAGGGAAGCTCAGAAGGAACTTCCGTGGTGGGGAAACCAGTTGGAAGCCAGCTCTCAAACAGAAGGCAAGAGAAGCATAAGCACGAGAAAAAACACCTGCACGTACGCACGGGAATCGCACTGTCCAAACAGCACAGCCTTCTGCGAGTTTCAGTCCCTTCGGATGCAAGAAACTAAGCCTGAGCGCGACGCCTGGTCGGAGCGCTCTCGGGCTCAGTGTGCAATCGGAGGAAAATATAAATGTAGAATAAGTAGGCTGATTGTTGGTCAGGCGCTTCCAAGACAGACAGGTGAATGAACAAATAAGCTCTGAATGATGAAGAACATAATCAGACAAAAGAAGCGGCAAATAGAGGAGGAGAGGACGAGCATTTTTACGTGTCTAGAACGGACATTCGCCTTGGCCAAGGGGGCCAAGCGCGCTCAGATCTCGCTTCGCAAAGGGACCTCCCTCACCCATCCCTAAGGCGGACCTTGAAATTTTCGGGGTTCGTATGGCCCCATTTTGCCCAAAAACCAACAAAACATGATGGCCAGGCCTGTCTGACGTGTCTGAGACTCAGCCCAACCAGCAACCCAAGCAAGACCCAGCCCAGCCCACCCAGCCCACCCAGGCAGGCGCCAAGCGCGATGCCAATCTTTGAGACTCGCCACTAGACTCACATGTCTGAGACACTTGCCTCAGGCTCAGCCCAACCAGCAACCACCCAAACAAGGCTCATCCCAGCCCGCCCAGCCAGGCCGGTCCAGCCCAGCCCGCCCTGTCTGCTGGGTCCATGACTCACTCCTGGCCCTGTGCGTCGCCTTGCCCTTGCCTCGGGGATTCCTGCGGGCCCATGACATCAACTGGTCAAGGATGCCAGAACCTGTCCATGTCTGAATCGCCACTTGACCAGCTCTGCTGCCTGCAGTCGAGCCACAGACGCTGCGCACTTGGCTGGGCCAAGGCGGGCAACGTGAAGTGTTTACAATTAGACAACAAAAATGAAAGACGAAGGGAGATAGAAGTTCATAATAACGACTTTGAGAGTTTCACAGCTTTCGAAATGGCGATAAAGAACTTCCGTGCAGACAGCGAGGGACGGCACTCACCTTTCAAGGCTGTAATAACTAATGGCTGATGGTGAAAACCATGAATTGTTTAAGGGCATGAATTGTTTGAGGGCGACCGCCGGAAAAGAGGGCTGCGCAAGCGAAGCGACGATCTTTATGAGGGTCGACCCGCCCAAAGTGCGCAGAGGGCGCAGAGACTCTTGGGGGCCTTAGGGGCGGGATTCCAGGGGGGAGGGGGGGGGATTCTGCTTCCGCACTCTTTTGCAAACTTTCGCAGGGCGCGAGCAAGAGCATGACGACGGAACGGAGCTTGAGGAAAGGAACAGAATTGGCCAAGAGAAGGAGCAGAAGCACCCAACAGACACGAGCGACATTTCATACTCAAAAAAGACGACGAGTCCAGCCCCTGAGCAGGGCGACACCTGCATTTTTTGGGGTTTGTCTTGGCATCGTTTTGGGTATCGTTAACATGAAGCATGAGCAGTAGGAACGGGGCTTGGGGAAGGGGGGCAAAAGCAACTAAGAGCAAGAGCAGGACCGGAGAAGTCGCAACAAACACAAGCGACATTTCACGCTGAAAGGAAAGACGGGTGTTGAATGTCATACCCGCACCGTGGCCGCGATGCATACGTATACGTAGTTGCGCATGATGAATATATACGTACTTGCATATTATACTGGCCGACTTGCTTGCCTAGTCTAAGTTTTCTCAAGGACAGAGAGCTCGCTGGCACGGCAATGATTTGAATCGCGTCCTGGCCTCCTGGGCGGAAGTCCATCGCTTCGTCCCGTCAAGGCTGCGCACCACGGTCGAGCTGCAGTGGGTCACCGAGCGCACCAAGCCTCGGAGGGCGGTCAAATCGCCGTCCAGTGCAGGCTTAAAGGTGTTCTACTGCTGGCTGCGAGCTCTTGGCGGACGTGTTTTTTTTCCGGCAGCTGCAATCCTGTCACATGCTTGTTTGACTTGAATTGCCAGCCTCGGGCTTTGCTCGCAGCCAGACACTCGCAGCCAGAAACTCATGGTGGGATTGCTGTCGATGCTGTGTCTTGTGCTGGGCGGGGGGTTCTTTCGAAGAGGCACCCAGAAGTGGCTAAGGCAAATGATGGGGCAGCCCAGCCAGTCATGCTGCTCTCAGCTGCCAAGCTCCGACTTCTCCCACACTTGGCTCCTGCTCCGGCTCCAGCCGGGTCACCTCAAGCCCCTGCTCCTGCAGTAGCTCCTGCGGCCAGTGCTGGCTATGATCTGACGCACTGCGCTCTCACTCACCTCGAGCCGACAAGCCGAGCGAAGATCGAAGCCCAGTTCCAGCAGGGAGGCTTCTCGCTTGGCGTCACGCACCTCGTGCACCAACAGCCCAACGCCTCCAGTACTCAGCAGCGACACGAGCGTCTTGGCCAGCGGCTCACGGCTGTCCTCCTCAAAGAAGCTCCAGCCGCCCCAGTACGCCACCTACCCGCGCTTTTCTTGGTCAACCGCCATCAGGCCCAGAAGTGCAATCAAGATTCCTGTGTTCAAATCAAGATCCAAGCACCCCGCCTCACATGCAACGACGCCGATCGCCTCCTGCTGATGAAGCTCCAGCAGCTCCCGCGCTGCAGCTTCATCGCCCCAGCGCAGAGGACGGCAAATGACCGGAGCGGCGTTCAGCTGGGCGCTGCTCTGCGCCAGAGGCATCACCTCTGGGAGGTCTGTGGCGATCACCTGGCAAGGAAACGGCGCAGAAAAGTCCTCCATTCCTTTGAGCACAGGGACTGAGTCTCCTTCTCCGACTCGAACTGTTCATTTTCGATTTATCTCACTCGCTTCGCTTCACTCGCTTCACTTCGCTTCACTTCGCTTCGGTCCTGGAAGTGGTCCAAGGCCAGGGCTGCCGCCAAGGCGCCGCAGCCGCACCCCAGCTCCACCAGGCGCTCTGGGAGCCGAAGTCGTCCACGCGGTCCACGCGGTCCACGCGGTCCACGTAGTGCACGTGCCAGGCGCGCGGCCGTGTGCTGCGCCGGCCACACGCGCCCGGCGACCCCCAGCGAATCGTCGAGCACCACGCGGAGCCGATGCCCCAGCAGCGTCATCTCGCACTCCGTCCGCATTTCCGCATTTCCATCACTCTCATGTGCCTAAGACAGGGAACAAGGAACACTGCACTCATTTGATTTAGATTCGATGGAGGTTTCATGAATTCAACAATTGGTGATGGCATGGCATTCATGGATCGCTTGACCGCAGGGCCGCAGTACTCTTGGCTTTGAGGTCGATTGCTCTCAGATCGCCCGGGTGTGTCAGGGCGTGTTCGGCCATTCACCACGCCGCCCGCATCTCATGGCTCGACCGTGTCTCATGGCATAGTGACGAGCTGAGCTGAGCCATGGCAGCGGGTTCGACTGACCCGGAATGTCGCAACACAAGTCATTGAAATGCAGTTCAGAATAAGAACTGCCAAGGAGCCGCTTGACTGGTCTGATGTGAAAGAAGCAGCGGCTGACATCAAGCAGTTCGAGAGGATGCCTATCAGAAAGCTTGTTCAAAGTTTGCGCAGCATTGCCAAGCACCCCCCCTATTTGCTCATTGTGATGCCACAGCAGCAAAGAGCAGTAAGGCAGTAAGCGAATAATTGTCCAGGAAGCTGCATACAGGACAGCTCGTGCATGCCCCTTGCCTTCAATGATGCTGGGTGTCTTGGGGTCGGTGCGGTAGAGCGCAGCCGCAATTTGGTACAAGGTGCAGCCTTCGGCTGCAGCCATCTGAGCGGAGAGTAGAAGGGAGTGTGATGGCGTGGGCCAAAACATGCAAAATGTTCAATCAAAGCGACTTGGGCAGCCAATCGGAGAAACCGGCCTGCATGCACAAAATAGAGCGGTTGGCAAGCATTCGGAACACACTGTCACTGTGTACCTCTAAGCGCATCCGAAGCCCTGCCAAACATTCGATTTGCAGAACTGCCACTCCGACGTTGCCTGCAACCATAGAGTGGACAGCTCCAGTAGACGAAGGCAGCCGCGCTCCAGGCCCAGAGTCTCTGCCAACATCCTCGGTCGCACGCTTCGGAGAATCTCACCACTCTCTCCACAGATGGGTCAAACAAATAGTCTAGCCAAACTTCTTGTTTCCTGCATGAGTTCAGGTTTGGGGTCTGATCGGACCCATTTAATAACTCTTACACTGTCAGCTCTAGGACCCCATGCCCTTATATCGCCTCGACAAATTCGCTCTGACCCTACCCCCGTTGTATAGCCCCAGTAGGACAGGGTATGATGACCTACTCCTTGAGTCAGGCGGACGCGCATGTGCGACCAGTGCGGGCCGAGCATCTTGGCATCGGCTTGCCCATCAAGCCCAGCAATGTACTCGAGGGTTTCTTGACTAAAAGGCTCCTGCAAAGGTGCAGGAAGTGTTGCTCGAGACCTATATCGCTGGAATTGTATGGACAAACATTTTCCTATTCCAAGCGCGAGCGCTCCGCTCCGGCCTTGCTCTGCGGCCAGCACGCCCAGGCGACATCGTGCAAGGGGAAGTTGAGTTGGTCGGGCAGCGAGCAGCCGTGGTCAATGGGGATGAGTTGCCTCCTACATTTGCTTCACATGCGGCCCTTACTGCCACTCATCCAAGCCTTCCGGAGTGGCACATGCTTTCGCGCATTTCATGGATCAGTCTGAATGCATCATGCTCAAGCCGTAAGCAAGCTCCCGTCCTGTCGCCAACTTTCTGCACAAGCCTGGGTCTCATGATATGTCAGAATCCCAGCAACAGCCAAGTCCGTTGCTCTCTTCTTTGGCAAGAAGAAACGTGCTACAAAAGGGCTCAATTGACAGATTCGGGTTCGACATCAGCTGCTTTTTGCTGACGAGAAACAAGTTGCCTAGATTGCGGTCGAAGTTCACCTTGCCGGAGCACAGGAGCACACCAAAATTAGGCTCCCAACACTTTAGTTGGCTGAACTGTGCCCATTCAGTGACAAAGGGCTCCCTGTCCACAACAAGTGGCTCCTGATCCAACCTGATATGCGTGCCAAATGAGTCAAAGTTGCAATCCTAACATCAAGGATGCCGATTCGATGCACATCCTCGATGCTGTGAATAGAGTATCCGAAGTTCTCACCGCTCTCTGCGTTCTCCACCCAGGCCTACACGATTCAACAAGTGACGCCACGACTGCGTGGAAGACTCAGAGTCAAGACTTCGCGCCTGGAAGGCTCCCAACTTCCACACGACCTGCTGCTGGCCGTCGATGGGCATGGGCACAAAGCTTCGGTGACGGCAACGAGCTAATGTCGTCATGGGCACCTCACGGCCAGGGACGCACGTCCCGCAGCAATATGACAAAACAAAGGCGGCTCAAACATGAGCTGTCAATACCAGGCCGCCCATGAATTGACTCTCTGTCTGCACTCAAGAAAACCTCCATTGGACAGAGAAAGCCTGGAAGGTAGACAGATCCGTTAAGACATAAGACCGCGTACCGCGTTTGTATGTATGGACTCCACGGAGTGGAAGCCTGCGCACGTCCCCGGTCCAGCAGGTAGGCCGCCGCCTCGCGCACCGCTCGCTGGGCCGAGGCCACGGCGCCCAAGAAGTGCCGCGAGTTCTCGCAGCCCAAGAAGCCTACGGAAGGAATTCGCACGAAGCGAAACGTCTCAAAAGAACGGGAGGAAACGAGCACCCGGCAAAATCAACAGAAAAGGGTTGGCATGGAAAGGCAGTTGAACAATTGATAGACGCATTGAAAGGAATATGAGATACATTCCTTAGAATATTCGGCGATGTCAGCAGGGCCCTAGCACATTGGCAGCAGTCCAAAGATAAACAATCACTGATCAGATTGTGAAGTGTGGATAAGGGGGCATCGAAGGAATTTTTCAGCGTTTCACGCGTCTTGTGCGTCCAGTCAACTCACAAGTGACATGATTGCCATCTGCAGTCGAACTGCCACGAGGGTTCTGCGGAGCTCCGGCTTCTTCGTCTTTCGGTTTGAACCTCAAAGCTAAGGACTCTTCCACAAGCTTGGCCCGAAACAGCGTGCCGAACCTTTGAAGAAAACCCGTCCGTGCTGTAAATCGCTGCGCGGGCCTCTCGCTAAGCGCCTAGCACTGCCAAAGGTTTGCCCTCCGCATGCAGGAAATAAGTGCCCCCGCAGCCGCTGTCCGCCAAGGTGGGCTGCACATTCTCGCGCAGGCCCTGCAACATTTGGTTCTCAAAAATGGGCCCACATTTGTTTCCCTGAAATTCCCTCCAAAAACGGCACCGGCCAGAGGGCTGTCCTTTCTATCGCATGCTCTCGCCTGTGCGCAGCGCTGGAGCAGCTCAAGCAGCTCGGGAGGGCAGGCCACGTCGCACGGCGCCAGCTCGATGCCAGACTCCTGACGTTTGGCTTAGCCTCAATTTGCCCATGGGCTAGTGTGAGAGCCAAACGGAACGGACAGCCACAGAAGTGTGTTGGGCCCTGTTAGGCAACATCTTGGATCCCAAGCAAAGCACAAACCCATGGCAAGAATGGAAGTCACGCAAGCGCAGCTACAGGTAGCTGTGATGGCTTTGGTGGGACACCGGACCGGGGGCTCCAACCTGAATCAGATTGACGTGTACTGCCTGTGGACACACGATCCAAGGTCAAGGGTATGGAAAGCAAACCCAAAGTTCACCACATCAACAAAGCGCACTTGTGCGCTACCGAGAGTTGCACGGCTTCTGCTTCCGCAGTGATGAGATCATTCTGGTTCCCTTGCAACCTTGCAAGGAATCTCGGACGTTCTGGGATCCTCAGCCCCTCCTGATCCAGCACAAGGAAGTGGAGATCCATGTCCGGCGCAGCGACAGACTCCAGCGGCAGCTCATCCGAGAGTTCAATGCCCCGGTAGAGCAGTCGGATCCTGGGTCATAAACAGAATCCATGTTAACTCAAGATGGATCTATCCGAAGCTGAGGCATTGTGGTAGAGGCTAAACACAATCTTATCAGGCATCATGTTCCTGCAACCAGGATGTATCACTTTCCAAAGCCTGGAGCCCGAAAGGCCAAAAGAAAAGGCAGAGGCATCGACGACATCGAGACCAAGAAAGCACAAAAAGAAAGAACTACAGTCTGTGCGTTTGCGGTTTGCGGCTTTTCCTTGTTTGGCTTCCCACGGTCCTGTTGTTTGGAACCTTGGAGAGCTCCGGGCACTCGGATCTGATAAAGGCTTTCAAGACGTCGCCGGAGGCGAGGGCTGAGAGCGTCAAGGCTTTCTTCACCGAGAAGCAGATGGAGTGCAAGCGAACCTCACTTGTTCGGAAAGCTCGGCAAACAAACGTAAGTCGAGCAATCTGGCATGGCAGGTCTGCTCAAATGAAAGGACACTTTGAAACTTTGAGCGGTTCTTGGGGACAATCCGAAACATATATGCTGGACTGTGCAAATCCATCGCCTCGAACGATTCGTACACGAGACACTGTTTGGACCCGGTCTCAAGGTTTCACAACCCCGTGTGTTGCTCTTGTGCACTCGCAGGCCCGCAACAGTATTCTTTGCCCGCCTTCACCGTCTCGCCCTCATGGCCCACGTAGCCGCTGTGCGTGGCTGGCTTCTTTTGGCTGCCAATTGGAACCCTTAGCCTTTGTTCAGGCGCTGACATGGCTAGCCACTTGAGCCAACTGTGCAATCGTGTTTCAACTGTTGCAAACGCGTTGCTCATGGGCACCTGGCTGCAAAAGCACTTCCTTTCACTCCGATAGACCACACACAATCCGAAGCTGCACTATGCTGGCTCTCCTGAGAGAGTCCTTCCCAATTCATCGAATACAACTAACTCTCGGAACATGTCAGTATCAATCTGTTTGTGGACAAGGCTGTGTCAGTGTAGCTTGGTCAATGTAAGACAGCCTTGCAGTATGCTGTCAAATGAGTGCAGCGTGAATGAGGTTACAAGTGGGTCGTGCAACCCAGCTCACGTCATATTCTCAAATGAGATATGGCCGTGAACAGGAGGTAGGATCATCGCTTCACAGTATCACCATGTCTAGCCCTGAACGATAGTAGCATTACCGCGTTGTTGATACTGATATCGTAGGCACCAAAAGCAACCAACTCGGTGATACCATGATGCCAGGACAGGATCGACAAAGTCTTTGGTTTCAGAGCTCCAGCTGAGAGTCCAAATCCAGGCCAGCCTGCGACAAGCATGTTGCAAGGCAGCGTGTCACGAAAGAACAACCCATTGGTCAATTATCTGCCGTCCGTGCAGGTGCATTATGAACAAGTCATTCCTGCCGCGACTTGGCTTGCAAGCCCATGTGACAAATTGCGACTTAGATTGGGCCTGGCCTTTGCAGCGAAGCGTACCTCTGGTGGCGCCTCTGCCCACTCCTGGCACACATGGCCAAAGAGGCAGATCATCAACAAAAGTATGGCTCAAAAGCACGTGCAGCGCGGAAAAAACACATGTGTTGCATCAAATGCGAAGCTTGCCGACACACAGGTAAAATTGATTTGTTGGCACACTGTGCTTTTACAAGTGTCAACATATGCTCACAAACGTATGTTGGCGGAGCTATCAATGAGGCCCTGAACACGTGAGGGAATGTATTCGCCTATGTCGCCAGTCCTGAATCCGGGTGCCGTTTGCAACAATGTACCAAGACAATTGACATATCTCACAACAGCGGATAAAGTTTTGCTAGATTGCTTGACTGGTTGCTCGGGCTGTGGAGCCAGCCTTCACTGCATGTGCAGGGAGTACTGCAATTCCCGATGGCAGCACAAGCTCTTGATACCTATTCATTGGGATCAACCGAGGCATCGCCAAGTACCAGCTGCCAAGAACGCGTCGAGCAAATTAAATTGTGACAGTCGTCTTGCCGCATGCAAACCTCACACACACACACACACACGCGACGGGCTCTCATTATACGAGATACGTTGGACATTGCAACTTGCTTGCAAACACATGCTGGATACATTCTCCCTGCACTGTGCTGCCGCTGCATTGGATGCACGATTGCATGCAACAACAGCAACGCAGCCACAAGCATGAAGTTTGTTTTTGATTTCTATGGTGATCCGGGACTATACAGGAGCTCAAATATGACAGCTCAAAGGCTTGCATTTTTTCTTTGCCCCCGGCTGCACAGGTATCTGGACGCTTTCTACCAGTTTCCAAGCGCAGTGCACAAAACAGCTCGCTGCCTTCAGCGTCATGGGAAGCTTCTGACCACTCAAGGCCTGGCACAGCCGTGAGAGGCTAGCGCTTTCAAAAGGTTCAACCAGTGTGGCCTCCTTGACAAGCTGTCGTGGCGGCGGGGTCTGCAAGTCTTGCCCTGCAAACGGGAAGCCGGGCAAGAAAGCCAGACACAATTGACCGTTGACCGCACCCATAAAACAAGCAGCAGGCCAATTCAAGGCCCTACCCGTTCGGCATCCTGGAACAGGTGAGTGCAGGCCCAACAAACTGTTACAAAAGTGATCAGCGGGTGCTGTAGGAAATCCAGAGACTTTCAAGATCTAATGGAGTACTCATCAGCACCAGCCTGCGGAGCTGCTCGACGGCGCCTGCATCAGAAGAACTGATTAATACATCCCGGGTTTCACACGCGGATTCAGGGAGTTCGCCCGTGGTCGCCGGTGGTTGCCGCCTGCGATCGCCTGTGATCCCCTGCAGTAGTTTGTGTCGCCTCTTGTCGCCTGTGGGCCTGTGTGGTCGCCTGCGGGTCGCCTGTGGTCACCTTACTAGTTCGCCAAAGAGCCTCCACTTTCGTCTGTGTGCAGGAAAAATATCTGTCGCCTGACGAAGCATATGTTTCTGAACCATCCGTGGATGCTCAAAAACCAACTCCACTGAGCAATGTTGGCGCTTGGGTTCAGGGCCCTGCCTCTTTGCATGGCGTGCAGGGTGTTTCAAAGCCTGAACCGGGCTTGTGACTCGGCCAGCTGCAATGCCCACCTCAAGACTCGGCTGAATCCATGAGCCGTGATTGCAAAATTTGCAAGCTGCGCGAAACGACGTTTCAGGAGAGATGCGATGGAGCTCAAAGCTTCCACATGTCGGAAACGGTCGAAGCAAACTGCGACACTTCATGCAGAACGAGAACTCCAAAGCGTGGTCAAACCTCATGTCTCAAAGTCTCCAGTCTTCACTGACTTCCCTGGCCTGGCCGCACCTGAGGCACGAGGCCAACTGCGATGTAGACGGACGGCCATGCAGCACAGATATTACCAGAAGGCGACATGTCATACATTTGAAGGGATGGGTGGCAGAAGCCAAGTACAACCAAGCGCCAAACCCGCGACACAACCGCGAAAACTGCGAATTCCTAGAGTGGTGCAAGCACTTTTGCTGCAGGCTGGTGCCTGCCGTGAAGTGGAGGCCAGAAAAGTGATCGGCTTCTCCTCATACAAATGCCATCTCGCACAGTGTGCATGTGCCATGTGCTTGCCTCCGCAATCCTCCCGTTCACTTATTCTCACAACACTTGTAGCGCCTCCTCATCCGAAGACAGCATAGTGATTTCCTCCCGCTGTGGCCGCTTGCGACGTTGAGCACGCTCCTGCCAGAAAAGTGCCACTCGCGAAGTCCCTGTTTTCTTGTTCAAATTGGATAGGGCTATTTCATTTTGTCCCGACGCCCGCCTCTCGTGCCTCTTGCGCTTCCAGCGCTCGCCTGGCCTCACTGCGAAAGTCCAGAAAGCTCACACAGAGCTCCCCGGCATCGCCTGGGTGGTCAGCAACTGGCAAGCGCCGAATTGTCTCCATGTCCATCCCGACAGAGCTCATGGTTGGCTCATTCGAGAGATGCTAAAGCACAATGTGACACCAATGTACTCTGCGAGTGAGCTCCAGCTGACTCCACCGGCAGTCACTGGCGATTGAACGAAACTCCCTGGGCCTGGCTTCTTCACAGACTCTTGCTCCTGGCAGAAGCACGTGCATGTTCAGCTCACGTGTCGGCAAGCATGGTAACCCACGCGCTCAGAATTCAGCACATGCGGCAAGCTCCAAGCCACGAGGCAAATCGAGGCAAGCGGCGCAGCGGCAGGCATTTGACAAACATTTCACGACTGACTCGCGCCTGCGCATTCCTCTGCCACGCCCTGCCCAGCTGCTTCGGCACCCGGCGCCAGCTTCTCACTGCACCCGTGCATGGCAGGCGGGGCAACGCGAGAAAGCGGCGCTCCAAGCGCAACGAGCGCAAGGCTTGCCGCCGCAGTTCCTCAGAAACACCAATAGCCAATAGGTTCAAGTCAGATTCACCGAAATGCCGGGGGGAGTGTCAAGAATGCAGATGGTGCACAGTACCGAACAGTCTGCATGCGGACGCACTCTGCAGGTTGCCAATCAGAGTCAAGGCTCAGGATCATCCAAGCGCAGCTCTGCTAGCTTGGGGTCTGCCTGGCAAGAGCGCATTGATCAGCTGAGCGGCGCGCTGTGTAGTGTGCTTTGCTCAGGCGAGGCATGTGCACTGCATAGCTATTGTGCTGAGGAAACTGAGTTGGAAGCCGCTTGCCACTCTGAGCTACCATGCACACTGAGATGACCTTAGATATTTTTGTACACTGGTCTGCCTCAGGAATATGTGCTTAAATCTATTCACATCAGCATGTATCCTACTTGGTGTTCCGTGCTGCAGGCGTGTGGGAATTGCAAGTTGCTGGCGCACATGACGCCATCATGCTGGAGATCCTGTGATTCGCGAAATTGAACATGGTTGCTTGAATCAAACAGGCACAGGACTTCTGAAAGGAATGAAATGCAATCAACAATGTTGCCCTGGCCGCGCCATGGACTGCGCATTTCGTGAGAAATCCGCAAATCATTATCCGCAATTCCCCGCCTGAGATGGGTGGAACGTTGCCATCGTTGAGTGAATTCAGAAGCCAAGCAGCTGCGCGGTGCCGCACTGCACATCATTCAGCACCAAGCCACCACTGGCCCAGACACTGTCGGGCTTTTTAGTGGCAAGAGAACAGTGCCCTGCAGGTGCATGCATGCATGCATGCATGCATGCATGCATGCATGCATGCATGCATGCATGCATGGATGGATGGATGGATGGATGGATGGATGGATGGATGGATGGATGGATGGATGGATGGATGGAGATGCATGGATGGATGGATGGATGGATGAATTGATGGATGGATGGAACGAACGAACGAACAAACGAAGGAAGGAAGGAAGGAATGAAGGAATGACTGAGTGATTGAGTTCGTGAGCGAGAACGAACAAACAAACGAACCAACGAGCGAAAGAACAAATGAAGGAGAAGCATAACAGAACATGCTATGCAACAACATAAATGAAACAGCATGCGATAACATGAAACATAATGAAGTAGTTGAAGTAAAAAGGGAAATGAATGTCATGAACTTGAATGAAATGACAGGACATAACATGCAATGTAAGGACGTGAAATGACATGAAATGGACTGGAGGGCTGGAACAGACTGGAATGAATAATCCTACCATTTCAGACTTTTCTTGCAAAGGAGACTTTGTCCAGTCGCTTCTGTTTCGAGAGAGCCGCTTTCTGGCAGCTGGCGTCACCCTGACTGCATGACATCCCTTTGACACGTGTCAGATTGTCGATGCCTGCGCAGCGGAAAGTGGCAACCTCGTCCTGACTACTTGCACCCGTTCGGGTGACGGGCCTGAGGGCAGAGTTTGCCCATCAACGTGTGCTCTGCCTTTTGCACCAATCGGCGCAAGCAAGGCAGTTGGCGCGTGCAGGTAATCCACCTTTCATCTCTTGAAATTAACTGTTAGAAAATTCACAAGAAAAATAGAGGCATCCAAACAAGATTGAGCGAGCATCGTTCACTTGTGGTTCTTCTGCCTCATGTGGACTTTGGCCTTCGCCTCGATACCGCTAAGCTGGTCCAGCGTCGCTTTCAGCCTTGCCAAAGCTGCCAAGAAGCACAACCGGCCAAGCTGAAAAGCGCGGCACTGCAAGTCTTTGGCAAAATGACTGGCCTGTTGCTCAATCTCTCCTCCATCTCCTTCAGCTCCACTTGTGACCTTCAAAGTGCGTCCAGGAAGGAATGAGTTTGAAAGAAGACAAGAATCGAACCTCACGTTATGTTGGGTGGGCCTTGCCGTAGCATTCGGGAGAAGCCAATCAAATTTAAAGCCGAGGTGCGGGACGTCGGCGAGGCGCTCACGAAGAATGGGCCGGATCTTGCCTAGCTGAACGTCAAGACCTGCAAGTCGCCAGAGCAAAGTGCAAAGGCGTCTCTTTCGCAACTAACTCTTTTCGCATCGCATCTCTCGCGTCTTCGTTCAGCTGAAGGGCTTTGCATCTGCTCTGCGATGGCGTGCACCTGCAAGCACCGCAATCTGACAGTCAGGCGCTAAGCCTTCAAATGCCATCCGGGTGCGCAAGTCCCATGTTGCGCCAACTCACGCGACACCTTCAACTCTTGCAGTCTTGCAGGTGCCTTTCTCAAGGGCATCGCGACAGTGCGCTGGACCTCCTCCACCCGTTTCTGGATGATGCCAGACCTGAGATGCAAACACGATCCAAGGAAAAAGGAAAACACTGTTTGCTTGTCAGAAGGGTCCCCGTCCCCGATTGTCCGCATAAAAGTTTCGCTTGGCCAGGTAGCCTCCTCTGGCTGTTTGAGCTCCGGCTGGCTTTGTCTCTTAGATGGGGGCCGTGGTGCTATTGAGCAGTGAGCTCCACGAAGTGGCAAAGCTTCAATTGGCTCAACGCAACCGGCGTTGACAGCACTGGAGGAAACAGCAAAATTGGTTGGTGACTGCTGTTTCACACAGACTGTTGACTGAGTCTGCAAGTCACAGCGCAGGGGAAGCTGCTAGCAAAGGCCTCAACAACGAGGTTTTGTGGGGGAGAGAAGCTTAGCTTGATCTCAAATTTGACTGACTTAACTTGCACTGGGCGTGCACAAAAGGAAAAGCATGCTGTCATGTTGGAACACCTTCGCTCACGCAGCATGCAGCTCCAAGGGGCACGGTGCTCTCGAGGACCTTCAGATCGCCAGCGAGGCGCTCCTTGCGAACGGACGGGCTCCCAAAACACGGGGACAGAGCCAACAGCCAGTCCCCCAAAAGGGGAAGTGCTCTTAGGGCACAATGTTTGTCCGGCCTGCAACTTCACAAGGCTCTTTGCCCTCAAGGGCTCATTGATCCATTTGAATCCTGTCATGAACTCATCGATGGTGATAGTGCCGCCTTGCGCATCGCAAAGCCCGGGCAAGTTTGCAGTTTGTTCACCCGCTGCTGTCTACTGGCTGCCGGCTCCAATCTTGAGAGGGCAGCTGTCTGAAGATCTCAATCATCTTGGTTCCCTGGTGTAATCCTTTTTCGCGACAAGTGACCCGTTTTCAGGCCAGCACGGAGCATTGGGTATTTGGCCTTCAATCTTGAATTCTATGCTGGCGATCACAAAACCTGGTCATTGAAGAGCGGTCTCCCCGCATGATCAGAGATTCAGATCTCCTATCCTGTGCAAGGGCTTGAACTCTGAGCTTCCATAGACAAACAAACTGCGCAAAATGAGAAATATGCAACTTCTGTTTCCATATTCCTGTCGCTCAAATTCTTGGAGTACACACTTGCGGTGCGTGTTGCCTTTGTCGTGGTCGATCCAGTCAAAGAGGTCCATGAGGTCTTGAACCTGAGGACCACACTCTCATCACAATTTAATCGGTCGGTCTGGCCTTCATCCTGGTATTTTTGGTAATCTTCTTGACCAGCTCCGGCGACTTGAGCATAGCTGCCAGGAAATTCAAGTTTTACAGCAATGCAACATCCTGCATGCAGGAAAAATTGCCAGTCACGTGTTAAGCAGGCCTTCAAACTCTGCCCTCGATACGATGCCGTTGCCGTCCACGTCTGCCTCGCGCCCGGCGGAAGTCTATTTCCGGGAAGGCGTGCTTTCAACAAAAAAAACACTGAGTACAAATGCACAGTGCACAGTGCACAAAAAGGTGGTCTCCCATCGGCCTCACGAAAGAGTTCCATTAGCACTTTGGTGATCATGGACTTCCGCTTCTCCTGGCTTGGTGCAAAGGCGTCTTGGTCTGCCAGTGCATTCTGCCCGACTGCGTTTGACTCTGGCGAAACAGGAAAACTTGGAGTGACTCGAAAGCGTTAAGACATTGTGTATTTGCGTCTGCGCACGTCAACTTCTAGCTGGTCCAAACAGCTAGCAGTGCACGTTACACTGGTATGACATGTAAGGCCCTGCCTCACGCTGCTCGTCTTCCTTCTGCATTTGGTCACGAATTGCGATCATGTTCTCGCTGACGACACCTACATTCCAGCTGTGGCAAAAACGTGGGAAGACCGCCTTTCAGTTGAAGGAGTCTCGATCATTGTTGCGTTCAAGCCTCAACTCACACACCAAAACCAACTTCTTAGAGTCCGTAAACTAATCAGCCTTTTGTCATGGCGCGCGCTTGCTTTTGATTCTTTGTTTGAAACTAACGGGGCTTCCATCCACGATATTCACTGCCTCGATCACTGCTTCCCAATAACTTTGATGTGCAACTCAACATAACTCACAGATTCATCTCTTGTTTCTAACCACATGTCACACATCTGCAACTCGTCAATACGTCTCACGCTCTTCCCAGCCATCGCCTGTCATGACGGCCAAAAGTGCCCAGGCAGAATAGATATAGAAGACGACAAACAGCGGTCGTAGCATGGGCATCCTCAGCACCACTTTGCATCGCAGCATGGGCTGCCAGTCCGATTTCCAACAAACAACGCGAGAGCAAAACAATCCCATCGCTTCGAGGAGCTCTTCGAAGAGCGGCACGAACTTCGTGAGACTCCAGCTGCTGACGGTGCCAAAGAGAGTGAACATGCTCGTGCTCACAGAGCTGAACATCTCCTGGGCGCAGCTCCCTTTGTGGAAAATCAATTGGTGAATTGCAGGAGGGCGCTCGATGCAAGTGACTTGTGTACACGACGTGTGGTCGACCCGGTCCTTGATTTCTTGCAGGTCCTCGTCAGCATCATCACCAATGATGTTGCCATGACCAATCAGCCGCGTGCAGAGGATAGCCACAGAGTAGAGAGTCATGATCATGAAGACCAGCACCCAGAACATGCCTCAACGACTGACAGAATCCGCAGGTCTTGCATTTGATGACAAGGTGAAGAAAAAGATGGGAGAGTGAAATGCTATGCAGCGGAAATCAGCCAGACATCTATTCATGGAAAAACTACTTCGCAAGTAGTCACGGGCAGTTCCAAGAAAAACACTGTCCGTCATGCGTGGCAGAGTTGTTTCGAGCTTCACTCGCAGTATGAAACATGTGCAGGTGGGAGGGTTTCCATTCGGGAGATGCTCCATGTCACAGTGTAGGAGCGCGCACAGGACACGAGATCCATGCTTTGTGCTTTCGTGTGCTTGTGATGCAAAAAACAAATCCGAAACTCACACATCGTGATCACCAGCGAGCTTCCACAAGCACCAATGTAAGGTCGCAAGATCATGAAGGATTCGCAGACTCGAACCCCACTCCTTCAATATATAGCGTCGCACACTCAGGTTGAATGTCTCCGCGCGCCTTGCAAAGCCTCTGTGATGGACTGCGCCAACTCGTAGAGCGGCCGCACCTCGCACAGTTGCTGACCACGGATGGCTCACACAGAGCAAACAGCTAGCCAAACTCCAGGGCCCATCAGTCTGAAGAGATGGACACTTCTGATGATTAGGAGGACATTAAGATCTGAAAGTCAGAAGAGAGCACCAGACTACTAACCCGATACCTGTGATGCCAAGACACTATCTTGACCAATCGGAAAAGGCGCACAATGCGCAGCAGTCGAGCCATACCTAAGTTGCCCGGCTTCTCTGGGCCCATCGTTTTTGTGCTGCGGTGGCTCTCAACGTTTCAACCTGCATCGGCCCATTTGCTCCAGCATTGCTAACACAACAGGCCCAGTGACGGAAGACCATGAAAACGGAGGCCATGCCTCAGGGATGGAAGCTCAATATGTACTCTTCGCACCACGCAACGTGTGAGCCAAAGCTGACAACGAACAACCCCGTCCTTGCTTGCTGTCTTTCACTTCGTGCCGCATGACAGAATGCAAGAGAGGCATCACCCACCTTGGCATGCCGCAAAACCCCACAAGAACGAACCTTCTTCGTCTTGAAATGCAATTCCATCTGTACATCTTCAGAGGCTTTGCTCTTGTTGCGAGATCAACACTTGTAAGTTGCCCCAGGCCCAGGCCTGACAAGACACAAAGGATCCAAGCTTCAAAACCCTGACTTTCAAATGCCTCTGGCTAGGCGCACCACTGATCTGCCACTCCACTCGCAACGATGAGAAAGTCAAAGACGTTCCACCCCCACTCCTCCTGAAGCAGGGCGGTGAATCCAACACGCGTTCCTTGAAGCCCGGATATCTGATCATCGGGGCTCCTCCTGTCGGAAGAAGTAGCAGCCGTGTCGCAGCAGCCGAACGATGAGCTCGAAAAGGAAATACGCCAGAAGAGCGTGCCTTGTACGTTGCTGCAGGTTGGGCGTGTCTGCACATGCTTAGGTGGTCGGGACAAAGTTGGGCTCTATAGGCAGCCTGATCGGAAAATGCAAGTGGGATTGAAATAATGATTCTATGATATGCATCAAATGAGCTGGTTTGCTGCTTAAACAGTTGGGGCAATACATTGCAAAGTGAACACCAGGATGGTGAATGCTGATTGCCAATTGTACAGAACTTCATGTCTGAGTCTATGCCGATAGAGCAGTGGAGCAACCCAAATTAACTTTCTGGCCGAAGGCTTCGATCTCCTTAGCTTGTAAGACAGGCGGCTCAACCCAGAACCAAATTGAAGACTCTAGGTCGGTCTCCAAGCCAATGACAACCGCATTGCACATGATGATGATACCGCTGGTCGCTTGAAACCTGAAAGCAAAAAGCAAAAAGCAAAGCTGCGACTGGCATCTGAAACGTGAAGCTCACAGAATCCGTTGAGAGCTCGTCCTACTCAAACAAGGCGATTCTCCGCCCGAGGCACCAGGTCGACTCCACCCACTCGAGGTTGTTGCTCTTCTGCTCCCAGGCTTCCGAGAAGCCATGGCCTTCGGACAGGCTGTGCGTGGCATGACATGTTTCCATATGTTTCTGAGCTTGGTTCTACACTCTACACAGTAAGCACGCAGGCCTGCATGCGTGAACAACCGCAGCCTTATGCCCGTCTCGCTCTTTGGCACCAGCGGCATTGCAGTACCTTTGGGCCTCTCGTCGTCATCCACATCCTCAGTCGCCAGGCACGCCAATTCAAGAATGCGGGACGCAAGGCCAAAAAACTGTTTTAGTCTTGTCTAAAAGAATCAAGTTCAAGCGCGGATTCCAAAACCCGTGGACAACGCAAAGGGTACATTGCAGCGAAACAAGCGTGAGCACACCAAACCCTGAGCTTTTGAGGGCTGTATAAGCAAGTGACTCCCTGAAGCGCGAAAACGCTTCAGGCAGCGAAAACCTCTTCTATGTCTCCGCTTTGCATAGTAAAACGTTGACAGAACAATCTCACGAAACTCGCCGGTCGTCGTGGCCTCCAAGGCCGGAGTGGCGATGGACTATTCAGCCGAACGGCGCTGCGCACGATGGTGTAGACGCCCCTTGCACTGTCAATCACCCGCGCGCTGTTCATGCGCGCACTCCCCGGCCATCCTCAGGTTTTGGCGGATCTCTGGGATGGCCAGGGCATCTCATGCGCACAGCACACGGCCGTGCTCTGGTTTGCTGCTCTGCTTGCCTTTTGCGGGCCACCTATTGTGCATGGTACTCATGTTAATAGGGTGACGCAGCTTGTTTTAGCCATCATGTGATTGCAATCTCTCCGCACACACACACACACACATGAGCTAGGAGAAGTCTGTTGCACTCATTGACATCCGTCAGCTCTCCTGCTGATCGAGCGCTGCTCGGGCCTAGCGACCTGGCGGATGCGTCAGAGTCCGAAGCCTGAAGTCACAGAAAGTCATCGCACGATTCGTTCCGAATGCGCTTGGAGAGAGAGAGAACAAACTTATGACCTCTAAACACAACAGGAGCATTCTCATCTTTCAGTCAACTAGTCAGCCACTCGAGCCTAGCAGAGCTTTTGCCCCTCGACTTTGGAGAGACAATGGGAGATGCTGGTGGAGGCGGCTCCACCTGGTCGCCCGCTGGTTGCCCAAAAGCTTCGGTTCGCTCCGATCAGTGCATTGAAACCTAACTTCATGTTTGAGACTTCAAAATCAACTGATGGCCGAAACTCTCCATGACCTGCGATCTCAATTCATTCTCTTTTGCTGGCAGCGCTCTTAGTACGATTTCCAACAGTTTTGTGTCCCTGCCGAGGCAGCACCAAACACGAGCATCCGTGTGAAGGAGAGAGAAATGGCGATGCAGATGCTGCAGAGGTTTTCAAGCCGAACTTGTTCAAGCCTGCCTCACGCCGCCGGCAGTTGTAGGCAGCCAGGAAGGTGGCTTTGGCCTTGAGGTCCCCCCACAGCGCCATGGCGTCGGATCCGTTGCCCTCCCGAGGCCCCAAGCTTTTTGTGTCAAGATCCTGAGCCTGTGTGTGAAAGCCCTGTGTGTGAAAACCTCCTTTTGCATCTTATGTATCTTTCTTGCGGTAACCGGGCAAATATTCACCAGGAACTGCGCCTGAGCCATGAGCTCCTTCTTGAAGTTGCGAAAAATGGCAGCTTTTTGGCTTGCAAGCTCGATGCTCTGCACAACGCAATAATGCGGCAAATCTGTCACTGCTCGTTGTGGATTTTTTTTGCCAAGCTTTCCACTCCACATATCTGGAGGCTGGTCAACAAACAAGCACTTCAGGCTGGCTGCCAACGCCGCCAGCATTATTGCCAGTCTTGCTTTGAAGAGAGGACATCTTGGCCTGCTAATTTCGCAAGCCTTGGCTCAAACGTAGAACGTGTTGAAACTCTGCAGCAGGGGCAGCAAGTGAAAGTATCCATTGGACTCCGCAATGTCCTGCATGTGTCAAAAACGAAACACATAATTCTGATTCACTCCTCAGCCACCTACAATGCAGCCCTGTCCATTGTCAATTTGTTCCCTTCCACTCTGTCTTCCTCACCCTCATCTCTGGCCAATTTCGAATGCGGAAATTCTGGTTGCCATGGTGGCGAGTCAACTTGACACCAAACAGCGGCAGCTCCGACAGCCTGCGCAACAAGCAGCCAATGTTCAAACCTGTTTCCTCTAGCTCTCATCATTCCCTTCTCTCTCCCCTCTCTCCCCTCTCTCCCCTCTCTTTTCTCTCTCCTGGAGTGTGTGCCCATCGTCGTTGCCCGCGGTCTCCGCGCCGTGCCGCCACAGCACGCAGGCCGAGGCTTCATCCCCCGTGAAGGCGGCAGAGCCCAGCGGTGTGAGCCCCGGCAGCACGGCGTAGTGCCGCAGCACCAGCGGCAGCGTGGCGAGTCCCGCCAGCCGTGCCTTCTGATAACTAAAAAACTTAAACATGATCTGTTCTTTTCAAACAAATTATCTGAGGAACGTAAACCGATGAATCAACGTTGCAGATTCCAGACAAAGAATCAGCCCTTCGACCTCTTGCCACGCTGCGTACATGCGGGCTGGTTGGCCAATCCAGTCGTATCGTCCTGTTGGAGTGCACCGTGCGGAGGCATCGGCACGGCGCTCCAGCAACAGGAGGAGATTGTCCTAACGAAAGCTTCAACTCATCGCTTAGCTCAGAAACCCCTGGGCATAGGCTTGAAGGGCAATCAAGTGGGGCGTGTGTATGTGAGTGCACGCATCATGATGTAAGTCCAGTTGCTGCTGTGCTACATTAGACTCATGTCTTTCATGTGCTCACAATACACTATATAGTCTGCACTGTGCGAATCTCTGCCGATGTCGTTTCATTTGCGTGCGCGTGTGCGTGTCCACGTCCGTGTGCGCGGGTGGGTGGGGGTGTCTGTGCACGTGTGTGTGTGTATCTGTGTATGTGTACATACATATATATATATATATATGTATATATATATATGTGTGTGTGCGTGTCTGTGTGCGAGCGCGCGTGCGAGCGCACGTGCGCGTGCGAGTGCGCGTGTGCGTGCGTGTGCGCGTGCGCTTGAGCGCGTGCGCGTGCGCCTGTGCCTGTGCCTTCGTGTGCACGTAGGCGTGCGCCGCGTGTCCCCGCGCGCGCGAGCGCGTGCGCGTGCGTGTGCGTGTTGGTGTGCGTGGGTGTGGGTGTGGGTGTGGTCGTGGGTGTGTGGGTGTGTGGGTGTGTGTGTGTGTGGGTGTGTGGGTGTGGGTGTCTGTGTGTGTGTGTGTGTGTTTGCGTCTTTGTGTGCTTGTGTGCTTGCGTGTTTGCGTGTTTGTGTGTTTGCGTGTTTGAGTGCTTGTGTTTTCATGTTTGCGTGTTTGTGCTTGTGTGTGTGTGTGTGTGTTTGTGCGTTTGTGTGGTTGTGTGTTTGTGTGTTGGTGTGTTCTGTTTGTGTGGGTGTTTTTTGTTTTTTTTTTGTGTTGGTGTGTTTGTGTTTTTTTGTGTGTTTGTGTGTGTGTGTGTTTGTGTGTGTGTGTGTGTTTGTGTGTGTGTTGGGTGTTTGTATGTTTGTGATTTTGTGTGCTTGTGCGTGTGTGTTTGTGTGGTTGTGTTTTTGCTTTTTTTTGTGTTTTTTTGTGTGTTGGTGTGTTTGTGTTTTTGCCTTCGGACCGAAAACCGCGCTCAACGGCGTGCGCGTTTTCAGTTCGTTGGCAGAAATCAGAAGCATCGCTGATCAGCACACCCGCTCACGATTACCCGTTCAGCACTGCAGTCATGTCATCAGCACTGCAGTCATGCCTGCCACATGATCAGCACACCCGCTCACGCGTACCCGCCAGCACTGCAGTCATGCCTGCCACATGATCAGCACACCCGCTCACGCGTCGCCCGCCAGACCGCTTCGTTTACTGCAGTCATGCTCTGCTACATGATCGTTATACTCCGCCAACCCGCTCAGCACTGCGGTCATGCCTGCCACATGATCGCACGCCACCACGCCAGACCACAGCACGTAAGTCATGCTCTGCCATACGATAACAAGAAACCAACCACCGTGTATCACGTAACTTGGAGTCTATCATCTAGAGTCCAAGTTGAGAAAGATTGAGTGACATCTGAGGAAGCTGTCTTAAGTCCAGTGACAGGAGTACTCGTGAAATGGTGGAAATCAAAAAGCCGCTTTCGTTACCGTAGCTGCTGAGACCAGTGCGGGGCCCCCGAAAGGTGCTCTTTCAGACATCCGTCAGCGCTATAATCATGCTCACGATCGCGATACCCGCCACGCCAGACCACAGCACTGCAGCCATGCCTGCCACACGATCGTTAATACCCGCTTCACGCCAGACCACAGCACGTGTCATGCTCACATGATCGTGCACGCTACCACGCCAGACCAGCACCGTAAGTCATGCCTGCTACGATCGCACACCGCTTCACGCCAAGACCCGCTCAGCACCGCAGTCATGCCTGCCACACGATCAGCATTACCCACCACGCCAGATGGGCTTCGCATCGCAGTCATGTTTGCCATACGATCGCACGCCACACGCCAGACTCAGCATCAGGCGTCATGCCTGCTTACATGATCGTGCATTATTCACCACGCCAGGTTCGCCAGCACTGTGTTCGCTTCCTCAAAGTACCGTGTCATGCCTACATACGATCAGCACACTGGCTTTCACGACGCTACAAGCCAGCACGTAAGTCATGCCTGCTTACTACGATCGTGCACGCCCATGATGCATTCGGCCAGCACTGCAGTCATGCCTGCCACATGATCAGCCCACCCGCTCACGCGTGCCCGCTCAGCACTGCAGTCATGCCTGCCACATGATCAGCACACCCGCTCACTCGTACGCGCTCAGCACTGCAGTCATGCCTGCCACATGATCAGCACGCCCGCTCACGCGTACCCGCTCAGCACTGCACTCACCCACCCAACCTACCGACCAACCAGCCACCCAGCCAACCAAGCAGCTAGCGACAGCATGGCCACAACACAACACAGCATGCAACGCATATGTCCCGAATTCGCTGTCTTCGCAATCGCCGCTGCTGTATCTCTATGTAAAGTCTTGGCAGTGGCGGTACATCTTGCGACAGCGAGATGTGGAGACGCAGACTGTGCGAGCCCTGCGCCGGAGGTGAAAACGGCAAGGCAGCAGAGTGGGCGAGATAACTCGCGTTTCGCCTAGGCGAAACGCAAAACGCATGAAAAACTGACCCCTGTTTTCGGCCTCGTTTTTGGGGACACAGTAAGCGTTTCGCCTAGGCGAAACGCAAGTTTTTTCCAGAAATGTGGCTAACCGCAAGCGCGGTTCTCGGTCCGCCGGGGTGTTTTTGTGTGTTTGTCTGTGTTTGTGTGTTTGTGTGTTTGGGTGTTTGTATGTTTGTGATTTTGCGTTTGTGCGCTTGTGTGTTTGCGTGTTGGCGTGTTTGCGTGCTTGTGTGTTGGCGTGCTTGCGTGTTTGTTTGTTTGTGTGTTTGTGTGTTTGTGTGTTTGTGCGTTTGTGTGCTTGCGCTCTTGCATGTTTGCGTGTTTGTGTGTTTGTGTGGTTCTGTGTTTGCGTGTTTGTGTGTTTGTGTGGTTGTGTGCGTGTGTCTGTGTGCGTGTGTGTTTGTGTGAGTTTGTGTGCGTTTGTACGCGTTTGTGTGTATGTTGTGTGTCGTGTTTGCCCGCGCGCGTGTTCATGTGTGCGCTATGAGCGTGCCATGACAATGGTTCAAAGCATTCAACTTTGGGCGCTGATTGTGTTTTCTAAGTTTCACAGCGCTTCAGCAAGCAGAACAATGCATATTTATCCCCTCCCCCTCCTGCGCATGGCGATTTCCGCGGCCATATAGAATGCAAGAATGCAATGGCGATATTCCAAGGCCTTATTGCAGATGGGCTCTTGTGGACGAGAGCCACAGGCCCAGCAAGGTCATGGAATTCACTGGCAGCAATCGACGTGTTTTGTGAGCAACGCTGCGGCAAGCTGGTGTGGTAAGCTGATGTCAAAATGTTTGTCTGTGTGGCATCACGTGTGCCCTTATACAGCCAGCCCTTTGGCAAATTACGCTTAGCCGAAAGTGGATATTCCGCGTGCAAACCACCAGTTACCAGCTGGCAAACTAACATCCTCATCCTTGACAAACCCTCCCCTCAAGACGAAAGGCAAAGTGCCAAGGCACCACTGAGCGGTGGGTTGGGATCACAGCGGGCATCTAGCATGGCGCAGAGCGTCTTGGCATCGCAGTTGGAACTGCAGCCAGACAGGGGCGTCATGCCTAGAGAACCAGCGGGTGAATGTGGGTCTGCGCGCGCGCGTAGAAGAACCTGCACCTTGCGAGGCCCATGCAAATCTATGGCTCCGAAGTTCAGTTCCTCTCTGAATTCCAAGATGCCTTCGGTTCCTGTTTCACACCTTTTTAGGCGCCCGCCTGGCCAGGACATCGTGCATAGAGCATGACGCTGCCGCCACTGTCGGAAGTTTGGCTCACATCAGCCTGAATGCCCATGGAAAGAGTGACTGAAGAGGCTCGAGGCTTCCCAAGGCTTCCCAGGGGATCAATTTCGGCACAGATTTGATTAAGGGTCACCTCAAGAACTATGCACACATTCTCAGTCAAGCAGCACGAAGATCGATGAGAGTCTCTAGAACTCGCGGAGCCTGGACCGACTTTGCGGCTGCAAACCTGAGAGATCAGCAACTGAAGATCTCGAAAGCCACTCACATACTGTGACTTGATTCCAGAGACTTGCCACGCAACAAGTACTCGGAATGCATTCTGCTAAGCGTCAGCAAAGGCTGCGAAGTGAAAAAGCCCAGATCATTGAGACCTTCACACCTCAAATTCACGTCCGCCCTTCGCTCTGCCAGCCATCGAATCATAAATACGTCACCGGCCAGCACCGCACACATCAGCCCATTCCTGAAGCAGCGTGACTGGCCAATGTCCTAATTTGATTCGCGAATGGTGCACTGCTGTTGCATGCCTCACAAGCAAGTCGTTAAGTAGGGCCCCCAATGGCTTTCCAGGGTCTAAGCCCTCGCATTTGCACTCCAAGCATCATTTGGCTACTGCTTTGAACAGCTCCTTGCACGTCAGGGAAGGCAAAGTCCTTGAG